CCTGCTCCTCCTCCTCCTCCCTCCTCCCTCCTCCTCCTCCTCCTCCTCCTCCTCCTCCTCCTCCTCCTCCTTCTCCTCCTCCTCCTCCTCCTCCTGCTCCCTCCTCCTCCTCCTCCTCCTCCTCCTCCTCCTCATCTCCCTCCTCTTCCTTTTCCTCCTCCTCCTCCTCCTCATCCTCCTCCTCCCCGTGCCGCGGCAGGACGTGCGGCTCGGGCGCTACCGCGCCTGCCAGCGCGGGTGCGGCGCCGTGATCGACAGCGGCACGTCCCTGCTGGCGGCGCCCGCGGAGGAGACCGCGCGCGCCTGCCGCGCGGGAGCGGCCCCCCGTCACCAGCCTCGCACTTTTATCCCCATCCCTAAGATTGACACGCCAAAAGGCAATGACAATCTGAGCGATGCGTCCTGAAACACTAAGGGAATCCCTAAGATTGGCATTGTGATGAGGCGATGCCCAGCTTAGGGATAGGGATATGCCTCAGGCTGGTAACCCCGAGCATGCGGAGTCCGCCGCGGTGCATGCCAGTCGGGTAAAGCCAGGACCCCAGGCAAGGGGACCCGGTTAGTGTCGGGCTGGACGAAAGGGGGGAATTGGGAAAGGGGGGGTTACGAAATCTGCTGCGTGCAGCTGGTTTCCGCCCCACCGAGGGGGCCATCCCTCGATACATGGCCGTTTCCAGCGCCGGGAGGCGCCGGGAGAATCAGCTACGTCAGCTGATTCTCAAACCCCCCCTTTGCTATCCCCCCCTTTCGCCCGGCCCGACCCGAGCATGCTGAGTCCGCCGCGGTGCATGCCGCTGCATGCCAGTCGGGTAAAGCCAGGACCCCAGGCAAGGGGACCCGGTTACTGGTGAGGCCCCGGAGCCCCTACATTGGCCAGAGTCACCAGAAACCAGGTCTGCCGTGGCTGGTGTTCGTCGGGTGACGGTAGTTCCGGTCAGTGAAATGGGGCGGGAGGGGCCTCCCCCAGTACAAATCCCTCAACCAGGTCCCACTAAACCGAGTTCTGCCTACGCCCGAGTCAGGCATGTCCTTCTGCAGGAGGAATTTTCAAAGACAGTCAAGAAACAGTCTGGGGACGATTCTTCGACAAATGTTGGGTAGTTATCGAAATTGTTTTATCTATGTTTATGTTTTCTTTCGGAGTCCGCCTGTAGGAGGACATGCCCGACCTAAGCTCAAGCCTTCTCTGAGATCTTGACTTTTTCACACCAGGCGTTTTCGCCAAGTTTCGGGCATCGAGACCATCACAGGTCGATACGGCTCGGATAACTCGGAATACATGCTTCTTCGAATCGATACCCACGCCATGCAATTTCTGGAATGCTGCGTCGTATACATGCCGAGACCACGCGCTAGCGACCTCGAAAGCATCTTGCGTAGTATAATTCTCGATTCAGGCAGCTGCATTGAAGAGCAAAAGCTCTGGGTGCATAAGCACATGCATGGTGCTCCGCCCAATAAAATGCCAGCACTCTGCGCTCATATCCACGACTGACAGCCTGCCAACAATGGAGGGAGCCGCTAGAGTAGGAGTTCGGAGTAGGTTGGAGAGCCGGTCGAGCGCCTGTTGTGCTAGTAGGCGTGGTTTTGTGATCTTGGCCTGGTTGGGTCCCTGGAGTCCTCTCAGGTCCTTCTTCCTGGAGAGCACAGGCGTAGGTACGGTGGAGAACTTTTGGATAGCGCGTCGCTCTGCTGGCTCTGGCCCACCACGCTGTGGCGCGACAAGCGATTCCACTTCCCAGTCTCCAGTCTTCACTCCACGTCCCGAGCGTTTCCGAGCCTCTTCGCCCCACGGAGCGGACCGACGCTTCTTGCCCGGCGGAGAAGCCCAGCGGCAGCGAGAGGCGGCCCACGAGGAAGAGGGCGAGGGTCACGCGGGGGGACAGGGGTCGGAGGGCACCAACTATACACCAACACCGATCCTGGCCCAGGATCACCCTGGGCCCAGGATCGGTGAATATGCCTTCTTGCGCAAGGCAGGAGGGCGTATACACTGATCCTGGGCCCAGGGTGATCCTGGCCAGGATCGGTGTTGGTGTATAGTTGGTGCCTTCCTAAGGGGGGGACGGGGGGGGACACGCGGGGGGGCAGGGGGGGACAGGGGGGACGCTGCCCAAAGCCGGCGGCCCCGGGCGCCGCACCACGCGCGCCTGCGGCGCCTCGCGCCGGTCGGCCTCGCGCCCGCCGGCCCCGGCCACGCGCGGCAGCAGCAGGGCTGCGGCCCGCGGCGGCGGCGCGGCGGCCCCGCGAGCGCACGGTGACGCCGCCGGCCCGCGGCCACGAGCGCGCGGGCGCCCCGCGGCGCACGCAGGCCGCCCCAGCCAGGGGCTCGGGGGCCTTGCGCCCCAGACCCCCTCGAGTAATGAAAAAATCATGACGCGAGGTTTTTCGCTATTTTCGGCCTCCAGGGGTCCTTACCGGCCCTCAGGACCGTCAAAAAACGACTCGGGATGAAAAACCGGTCCCGGGGAATGGGTCCGGACCTCTGGGGGTCGCGTCATGAAAAATCATGACGTCGGGGGTCTGGGGCGGCGGCGCGCAGCAGCCGCGCGCCAGCCCCGGCGTCCAGCAGCAGCCCTGCGCGGCGGCGCGGCGTGCCCCGACGTCGCTGCGCGCGTTGCTGGACGGCGCCAGCGCCGCGGCAGCCCCAGGCGGGCGCGGGGGGCGGGGCTGTTCATCGAGGAGAAAGGAACCCTCAACGCTGATAACATACAGTGGGGGCGCGCCTCAAGAACCCATATGCTTTTCGTCAGGGTATCCAGGGTTCCTTCGCTCCGCGCGCTGCGCGGTGTCTTCCCGCAGCCGTTGAAGAAGCTGCTGCGTTCAGGGTGCTCCGGGCTTCCCCTCGGGTGCACCCTGCTTGCCGGTTTCCAGGGTTGGGTTTTTTGTTGCGAGGGCTTCTTGCGGCCGCGCCCGCACTGTAGTGAAGACGTGGCCATAACACATCTGGGCGGCTTGATGTCATACCTCGGCAGAACAGACGCCCGGTCCCTGATGCTTTTGGCCTCCTGCCTTAGGTCGCCTCCCAAAGGGCTGGGGGTCCTTCTGTTACTAGTCACCTGCGGCAGCCCGCCTGGCTGCGCTCCGAGCACGCCCCGCCGACACCGCGGCCAGCGGCGGCGGGCCCGAGGGGCCACGCCGGTGCTGCTGTGGTTCGCCACCAGGGCGGCCAGCGGCGGAGCGACAAGCGATCCGCTTGCAGCGCATAGCGTGTCGCTGGGGCCGCCGTGGCGACACGCTAAGCAAAAGTTCACCGACCGTAGGTACCTCGCGGTCGACTGTTGTCTGTAATCGTGGGAGGCGAGGGTGAGGCACGAAGGAGCTGAGGCTGCCCACCTCCAATCGAGCAGTACCGCTCTTGCATGCGCAGGTTTGGCTGTCTCTTCCACGCTACGCACCCGTTCGGTATGAAATCATAACATCATGGACGCCTCGCATGCCCTCGCAATTTCTTATTCTGAGTGATTTAGCGTCCGCTAGATTCCGGCAATCCAGGAGGAAGCGGCGAGTTACATCGATTCGAGTCGATTTGACATCGATTCAGCCTCGTTTCGCGTCAACTTGCAAGTGCCAGCACGATGACATGGGAGGCTCCCATGAGTTGCCTCCGAACAGCTGTTCTATGTAGATGACTTGAACGTCCTGCAGGGAAAGGGAGGTGAAGCTGATCCAATTTTGCCTGGGTAGGCATCTTGCCCGTCGCTGTACGTTTGACTGGGAATGATTGCTCGCTCCATGGCGCGCCTGCTATCCTGATCGCAACTCTGCGCGTGGCCATTAGCATGAGTAATAAATCAGGCTGCCCGTTCTGTTCCAACAGGGAGAGGAGGAGTAGCTGGAGGCAGGAGGAAAGAGAAGCAGTATGAGGAGAGAGGAGGGAGGAAGTAGGGATAGAGGGAGAAAAGGAGACGGACGAAGGAGGAGAAGGAGGGATGACGAGGTAGGATGCTACGGTCCTGGTCTCGAAGGTCCACTTGTGACAGCGCTTCCCGCCCCCCCCCCGCTGGCTTGGGGAGCTTGAGGAGAGGGAGCATGTAGGAGGAAGGAGGAGGGTCAGGAGGAGCATGGAGGAGGAATAGGGAGGAAGCGGGAAGCGGGAGGGAGGAGGGAGGAGGGAGGAGCGAAGAGGCAGGTCGGAGGGTGGGGAGGAGGAGCAGGGGGGGATGGGGGACGAGAGAGGAGAGCGGAGGAATGGGGGGGGGAGGAGGGGGAGGAGAGGGAGGAGGGGGAGGAGCAGGGTCCAGCAGGGAGTGGAGGTGCGCCGCGGGCGCCTCGACTGCCGCGCCCCCTGCCCCGAAAGGAGCAGGCACGCCTCAGCGAGCTCATCAACTCCATGGTGGGGGACTGCGGCTCCCTGGACAAGCTGCCGGACCTGACGTTCACGCTGGACGGGAGGAAGTGCCTCGAGGGGGCGGGAGGAGGAAACGGCGCAGGAGCAGGGCGAGGCAGAGGACAGGAGGCACGGGAGGAGGGCAGAAGGGAGGGGCGCCCTCGGAGTCGTGCTCCTCCCTGCTCGTCCTGCTCCTGCAACGCTTCCCTCCTCCTCTTCCTCCTGATCACTTTTCCTCAGCAGGTCAGACGGGGCTGGGACAAAGATGAACCCGTTCCGGAGCGTTCCAGGGCGTTTCTTCCTCAGAGCTTTTCGGAACGCTCTGAGGAGGCCGCGGCGCCCACTATACATCCTCCAGAGCTGCCGGGCCTCGGATATTCTCGATGTTTATCCTCACCCCGATTTGTCCTCGCGCTGGCGTCGTCTGAGCAGGAGGTGGAGGAGGAGGAGGACTCGACTCCAGGCCGTTCGCGAGATTTATATCATTGTCCCGAGAGAAGGGAGTTCCGAATTGAGACGGGGCCTCTTTTCATGGACCCCAGGGGCCCAGAACATCTCATAGGAAATCAAGCGCCTCGTGCTTGATACTCGTGGATGCGATATTGCCCCTCTCCGTACCCAGGCTGGCGTTGTGAGGTCAACACATCGATTAAGCGTTGGATGCTGTCGC